GTCCCCTTTCTCTTGAGTTATATGTGCTTTCTTTCCAAGGTGTTGATGTTGTCTTGGGGCTGTCTTGGCTTGCTACTCTTGGCCCAGTAGTAAAAGATTATAGTCGCCGCCATTTTGAGTTCACCCTGGCTGGAACTAGCTATGTTTGGAATGGTGAACCACCACTTGAGGTTCAACTTGTACAACTTCAAAGTCTTTGGCGTTTGGCCTCTATGGATACAGTAGCTTCATACTACTGCTTGGAACTTGTTCAGGATGTTGGTTCTTCAACCCCTTCTTATCCTCCTGAGTTGTCTAATGTCTTACGAGATTTTCGAGATGTTTTTTGCAAACCACATGGTTTACCTCCTGCTTGTTCCCAATACCATGCCATCCACTTATTGCCGAAGGAAGGACCTGTGAATGTGAAAACATATCGTTATCCATCTTTTCAGAAACAAGTCATAGAGCAGTTAGTTGGGATATTCATCAGGAAGGCATTATTTGACCCAATACAAGTCTATTTTCTTCTCCAATTCTTTGGTTCGAAAGAAGGATGGTACATGGCGATTTTGTGTAGATTATAGAGCTCTCAATGCTATCACTGTGCGTGATAGGTTTCACATGCCCTCTGTGGATTAATTATTCAACGAACTAATTATACGGCGCTCGATATTTTTCCAAGCTGGATTTGTTGTCTTGCTATCATCAGATCCGTATTCACCCTGAGGATGTTACTAAGACTGCATTCCACACTCATGAGGGTCACTATGAATTTTTAGTGATGCCTTTTGGTTTATCGAATGCACCCTCGACTTTTCAAGCCACAATGAATTCCGTATTGAGGCCATATCTTTGGAAATTTGTGCTTTATTTTTTGATGACATTTTGGTATATAGTGGCTCATGGGATTTACATCTTCAACATTTGGCAACAGTCCTTCAAGTGCTTCGTGACAACTCCTTAGATGCAAAAGAATCTAAGTGTCTATTTGGCCAACAAAAAATAGACTATCTAGGACATGTATGAAGGTTTGGCTGTGGATCCTCCCGAAATTCAGGTTATATTAAATTTGTTCACTCCAAAGAATGTCAAAGAAATGCGAATTTTTCTTGGGATTAACGGTCTATTACTGTCGCTTCATTAAGCATTACGCTTCCATGGCTAGTCCTCTCACTGATTTGCTTAAAAAATGCATTTCAGTGGAATACTTGTACTCAAGTTGCCTTTGATACAGTGAAGCAGGCCCTTGGCTCAACACCAGTGTTAGCACTGCCAAATTTCTCCAAGGAGTTTCTCTAGAGACTGATGCATCTGGGATTGGTATTGGTGTCGTGTTGTCTCAAGATCGGCACCCAGTTTCTTATTTTAGCAATAAATTGTGTTCCCGAATGCAGCAAGCCTCGGCTTACCATCGAGAGATGTTTGCCATTTACTCAGACTGTGAGTAAGTGGTGACAATATTAGATTGGGAGACTTTTTTTATCTATTCGGATCAGCGGGCTCTCAAAAATTTCACTACTAGGTCATAAAAACTCTTAGTTATTGTTGTTTTTAGTTTGCAAGTACTCTTCTTTAATACAAATCCAGTTAGTTTTCTTTGAATTATTGTGTGACATTTGAGATTAGAACATAAAATATTCCCCCTCCCATGTTTGGTTGTTTAGAAAACAAATTCGGAAAATATTTTTTGGTGTTTGGTTAGTGAATAGAAAATATTTCTAATATATAACTTAGACAAAATATTTTTTTATCACTCTTCGTCAAAACATTATACTGTGTATATAGGCAAAATATTACGTTATAAAGGTATATAACACATATTGAATGATAGTTTATATGAGTCCACCAAACTATAGAAAGACCAGGTCCTCTATGAGTTTCTACTGAGAACGCTAATGAAACAATAAGTAAGTAAGACAGGGAGTTTTATGTGGAAAAATCCCTACTCAAGGGGATAAAAAACTACGACCTACACTGGTAGGATTTCAACTTCACTATGAGTAGATTTTAGATTACAAACCTATGCAATCTAGGAATTAAACTCTTAATCCCTCACTAACTTGTAATACACCTAATACAAGCCACTTTGCAATACACCTATTACAAAGACTTCAACTCATGACTAACTCTAGTCACGACACAAACACTAAGAGTTTATGGTTTTACAAAGGGGTTCCTAAACAACGCTTCTAGCTAAGCAAATTAGGAATTACAATGAAGAACAATTACAAAGTTTCAACTCAACTAAGGACAATAAGATACTAGATTCAGGAACTGGTCCATAGTAGTGTTAAACTTTGTTCTTGATGCACTTGAGAATTGAATGCTCGGATATCAGATAGCTTGAATGCTTGGAGTGGATTCTCAAGTCTTCAAATGATGTTTTGTTGTAATACACTTGTTAATACAACTTAGATGACATTACTTGAATGATGTAATCACTTGGTTGGTCAAAGGACAAGTGACTGCAGAACTGCGCTGCACTGGTTTTGTGTACGGTGCAGGCAGTCACTTTCCAGCTATACACAGTTGACTTCGTACTGCTGTCAGGGAAACACAAGGGATCAGGTCCGTGTGTTGGTTCTCTATCTTCTGAAGTTGTAATAGTTCACATTAGCTGGAGTCCGTTGAGTAGCAATGTGTACCAAGTGTGTCAGGTTCCCTATCTGGTTCTTTGACAGTAAGTTTTTTGAACATCAAAACATAAAGCTAAGACATTGGAAACCCATCAATTTCCCCCGTTTTGATGATGACAAACTTAGACATTGATAACACATGTTTAGAATAGAATTAACCAGATGAAGCAACAGGAACATCATAAGTTCCCCTTGACTTTATGCTTCCCCTAAATCAGATCCCTGTTTCAATTATACTTCCCCCTTTTGGCATCATTGAAAATACACAAGTAGGCAGTCAGCATAAAGAAGTCTAGCCAAGCTAACTCATGCCACATATGTGCACACAACATGATAGAAAAGAGAAACAGAGAAACGTAAGCATTAGATAGCAAAAGAGGATAGTTTTTATATAGAAAATATATGTCTTTGCTATACAAAAAAGGCAAAGATTGTACTGTTTTTAGCGGGAGCAGTACAGGTGCACCCCATCCACATCACAAAAAAAGAAACAAAACCAATTGCCAAGTCATCAAAACAAGAACATAAAATCCAGAAACTAGTCACTGAAAGGGGCTGCTTAGGGGACATTAGGAGGAGAGGGCTTGGAAGCTACAGTAAGGGTTTGGAGAACTAGATCTATTCGAGCATTCGTCGATGTTTGCTCAGTGAGCAGTTTCTCCTTCAGGTTCTCCACTTGTGCCCTGAGATCAGCATTTTCTTTAGTCAAACGAGCTATCTCCTCATTTGACCCTGGGGCCCCTTGGGCCTGCTGACCTTCCAGGATAGCTTTCCTCGCCTTCAACCTTCGAATCTCCTTAGTTGTGCTGTTTTGAGCATTGATGAGCTGAGAGATTGTCGATGTACTGCCTACCCCTCCATTCTTTTTGATACACTCGCATTCCTCCAAGGTTGTTTGAGAGAAGGTCTGCTTCTTGGTTCCCACTTTGCACTGTCCCAGGGGTACTTTGAAGAACTTAAACACGTGCGTAAGAAGAAACCTATATGGAAGACCATGATTTCTATCCTTGAAACTCGCCACCTTCTGCATATGCTCGATCATGATGGCATGCAGGTTCACAGCTGTAAATCCATCCAGTGCCTCCATTAGATACAAGTCAGGTTTGGAAGCCATGGACCTCCTCTCAGCACGGGGTGGAAGAACCTTGTTTACCAGCTCGAACAATAACTGATAGACGGGCAGCAAGGCTTTCTTGTGAACCCGTTCCCCCTTCTGGTTTGCACCTTCCTTCACAATAGCATTTCTGAAGTTTGACCCACACACATCCTTCACAGAAGACATACCAATAGTAGGGACTTTAAGAATATCCCCAAGCAGAGCAACATCAAACATAATATCCACCCCATTAACTAAAGAACAACAATGGTCAGTATCAACAGGAAAGAGGTCTGCATAGAAGCTTTGGACCTCATCCTCATATACTTTGGGTGCATCCATTAGAAATGAATTCCCCCACCGTTGAACCTCAAACATCTCAATTATTTTCCTCATGCCTGCCATTTCAGAAATTTCTGGGTCAAAAGTATGACCCCACAAGACCTTTTGGTGCCTCAATCGTTCTGTAGCAGACCTAGTCTCACTTTTCACTCTCTTTGCATAATCAGGTTCCTTCACAGGTTCCAACTTTCTCTTGCCTGACTTCACACTTGATTTTTCTCTTCCACTAGACTTGTCCAAACCATCCTCATCAGAAAATGATTGTTCACTCACAACATCTTTCAATTTTCCACCTTTCACAACAGCTTTCAACTTTAAACTGGGGGTTGTAACATCTTCCACTTAAGCAGATTGCTTCTTCTGTTGGGACCTTTTAACCAAGGAACTGGGTTCCTCTGTTGCTTTCTCATCAACTTCCACCACAGGAACATCCTTGTCACATACTACTTCTCCATTTTTCACCAACCTTTCTTTTTCTTCTTACTGCTCCTTTTGCTCTTTTGTAGGGCAGACTCATAAGCCTTTTTTGCTTGCAATCTAGTAGTAGGTCGCTTAGAAGAAGACTCATGAGTGATTACTGCCCTTCGCTTGACAATAAAAGCATCCAGAGCAATGTTATCTTGATCTTCCTCATCACTAGACTTCATCTCAGGAACCAGAATCTCCAAGGGCTCAACAGCAAAGTGTGGAGAGGGAGCAGAAGCAAAACTGACCTGGGAAGAGGATCCTTGACCTGTTTCCTCTGGAGAGGGTCAGGTCCTTTACGAGAAGCCCCAGTAGTTTCTGTTGGTGCAGAGCTTTCAAAAAGCACCATAGCTCCTTCTTCCACTAACCCGTGTGCCTCATTCCTCTTAGACTTGGGCACACCAGAGACTACCTCATGCACTATTCCATCTGCAGATATGACAAGTATGTTTGTGACGGTTTCCTCCTCTAAAGACTCCATGGTCACCATAGAATCAGAAGCAAGAACGGCTGAAGGTTGATCAACACTAACCCCTGAGACCACTACAATCTTTGGAACTTTAGCCTCTTCTCCACCCTTGCTTTGGTCGGTGAGAATCTCAGTCGATAGAGATGAAGGAGTATCGATTTTTGGGGTTTCTAAGGTCTCACCATTTGGAGTGAGAGAGAGGTCTGAGATAGTCGCATTAGAACTGGAGGGTGTGTGGAAATCTGGTTTAGAGGTGTTTTCAGTGGTTGAGACTGGAATGGTAACAGATGGTTCATCAGGGAATGAAGGCTCAAAGGTTTTCTCTGGGTTGATTTCTACTAAAGAAGGGATTATCGAGTGATTGTCAGCCATTGCAGAGATACAGTTGAGAATTTTTTGGAGAAGGTCTGANGTTGGCCTACCTGAGCCTCCATCTTTTACTTCTCCTTTCAACAACTCATTGGTAGCTGAAGACTCAAGTCCTCATCAACCTCCCCAAGTAAATCCCACTTTTCCCCTTGTTGTCTTGTTGTATTCTCTTTCTTATATGTGTTTACTAAGCATTTAAGTTATATACACTTACAATATTTTTTACACTGTCAATGGAGTTCAACCAGTGATGGCAGGTTGGTTACAATTTTTACCTTGGTTGTGTAGAAAGGGAGCCTTGGCGTAACTGGTAAAGTTGCTGCCATGTGACCAGGAGGTCATGGTTCGAGCCGTGGAAATAGCCTCCTGCAGAAATGTGTAGGGTAAGGCTGCATACAATAGACCCTCGTGGTCTGGCCCTTCCCCGAACTCCGCGCATAACAGGAGCTTAGTGCACCGGGCTGTCCTTTAGTGACCTGGTTGTGTAGTACTTTTTACACAGTGAGTGACTGCATAGAGCATAAACTTGTATATTGATCTATTCTTCTTTCTGTGTTTTGCTACCTTGTAAATAAAAGGAAGGAGAAGAAGAGATTGAGAAGTATGAAATATCAAATGAAGAAGAAGAACATGGTAATAATGCAACTGCAGGGGTACTTAAAATGTACAGCAAGTTAGAAAGGGTTGAAGCCATTTTGGCACAAGCCAGGTCTTCCATAAGAGAAGCTGCTCGAAATGGGAGTATGATATCTAACCATCATGACCCTGATTATGTTCCTCAAGGCCCCATGTACCATAACGCAAATTCCTTCCACAGGTACTGATTCAACCTCACAATCTAATTAAGTTATTTCATCTATTTTCTGGTTCTTACGATGTTTTATTATTTCTATGAATCTGTTGACGGTATTGATATATTGTCTCTTCTCGTCTTTTCCGTCTTCTTGAGCCGAGGGTCTATTGGAAACATCCTATCTGCCCCATCGGGGTAGGCGCAAGGTTTGCGTACTCACTACCCTCCACAGAACCCACTTGTGAGATTCTACTGAGTTGTTGTTGTTGTAATCTGATTAAGTTATATACACTAACGGCGGAAGAATTTTTTTTACGCTATCAGTATAGTTTAATCAGTAGATAATGAAATGTCAGTTACCATTTTTAGCATGTTACTCATTAATTCGTATCATAGAGATTTACTTGTAATCACCTTAGGCGACCTGATTGTGTATATACCTTTGTAATGTTAGTGCATAAAATTTAATGCTGGTGGTCATTCTACATTAGCATTTATATCTTTTGCAACAATATTGTAGGAGCTATCTTGAAATGGAGAAGAAGTTCAAGGCATATGTGTATGAGGAAGGAGAACCTCCAATATTCCATAATGGTCCATGTAGGAGCATATATTCAACAGAAGGAAGGTTTATACATGAAATGGAAAAGGGAAATTTCTACAGAACTAAAGATCCAGATGAGGCTATGGTGTATTTTCTGCCATTTAGTGTAGTTGTGATGGTTCATTACCTCTATGTCCCTGGTGCCCATGATATGCATAACATTGGCAGAACTGTTGCTGATTATGTTAAAGTCATTTCTGCAAGACATACCTTTTGGAACAGAAGTCTTGGTGCTGATCACTTCATGCTTTCCTGTCATGACTGGGTAAGCAAGTCCTCTAAAGAGTCAGTCAAGTACATGCGTTACTTTATTTATCTTATATACTCTTAGGGCTGCATTTCGATCCGTGGAAACAGCTTCTTGCAGAAATGTAGGGTAAGGCTGTATAGAATATACCCTTGTGGTCCGGCACTTCTCCGGACTCCACGTATAGCGGGAGCTTAGTGCACCGGACTGCCCTTTTTACTCTTAGGGCTCGGTTGGTTCAAAATCATCTAGGGATTATAATCCTGGAATTGGAATTAGAACCAGGAATATAACCTGGATAACTTATCCCACCTTTCATATGGGATAAGTTATACCAAGAATTTCGTATAAAAATAATATTGGTTTTAGTTGGTACATATACCTCTAATCAAACACAAGAGAAATTTAATCCCAAAATTTATACCGGGATAGTCACTTAATCCCTTGAACCAAATGACCCCGTAGTGACGCCTCGAGTGGTGGCACATTAGGTAGCATCCAACTATCGGTTCCAACTAATTTAGGATTGAGACATAGTTAACAGTTGATTGACATTGTCATCAAATTTGCCTTTTTGATGAAAAACTTTTGTATTGATCTCCAGGGGCCACATTCGACTTCATACGTTCCACATCTCTTCAACAACTCCATAAGAGTTCTGTGCAATGCCAATACCTCAGAAGGTTTTAATCCTATAAAAGATGTATCTCTACCGGAAATCCATCTCAAGACGGGCGATATCAAGGGACTCATCGGAGGTCCCTCACCATCAACAAGATCAATTCTTGCATTCTTCGCGGGTGGTTTACATGGTAACATTAGACACCATCTGCTAGAACAATGGAAAGGGAAAGACGAAGATGTGTTAGTTTACGAAAAACTTCCAAGAGGCAAATCTTATGAATCCATGTTAAAGAACAGCAAGTTTTGTTTGTGCCCAAGTGGATATGAAGTTGCAAGTCCAAGAGTTGTGGAAGCAATATATGCAGAATGTATTCCTGTCTTGATTTCAGATAGTTATGTGCCACCATTTAGTGATGTTCTGAATTGGAAATCATTTTCTGTGACAGTGGCTGTGAAAGACATACCAAATATCAAGAAGATATTAATGAGCATTTCACAGAGTCAGTACTTGAGAATGCATAGGAGAGTGAAGCAAGTTCAGAGGCATTTTGTGATTAATGGACCACCCAAAAGATTTGATCTTTTCCACATGATTGTTCACTCCATTTGGCTAAGAAGATTGAATATTAGAGTTCATGAATAGGATTTACTATACTTATATTTTGGACAAGTTAAAGAGAGGGGAACCTTCAGCAGTTGAATGGAAATCCAGTTCAACTGAACTACTAGTATATCCAAATGGAACAAACATCTATTTTTCTTTTTTTTATTGTTTTCTTCTTTTTTGTTTTTATTATTTTCTGACAGAAGTTTCTTGAATTTTGCTGTTACATCTTGTAAAGAATTTTTTTCCAGTTTTGAAATCAATGTTACTTGTAAGTCATTTTCTGTTTCATTTTTATTTCTGCAATATGATGCCTCTTTTAGATTACCTTGGTAAATAACCTCTATTCATCCATTCTGGAGTAGTCTAATTGCTTTTCTGAAACTCTAATTTTTCTACAGAAGGTGTGGATTTCTATCATTTATTGACTCTGTACTGCTGTAAAATTGACTATGATCGAGACTCCGGATGGTTGTGCAGCTTTTTAGTTGCGGACTTATTTGAACCCGGTACTTTTCATGTGCAGTATAAATTTATGTGCAAAAGTTCATCAAAATTGCAAAAATAGTAGTTATGAACCCATAACATTTAAAATATAACTAGCGCAATGCTAAATACCTTAAATATTGAACCCATAGAACTAAAATCCTACATCCGTGAGAGCAGGTCACACAACATATGATATTATACAGAAATAGGGGAAATATGGATTAAATGGGGTAAGAAATGGATGAAATGNCATGCCATAAATTCCCAAGTATAATGGAATGACCGATCCCAACGATCATGTCACTTCTTAAACATGTGCAATTAAAGGGAACGATCTGGAGGACGATGAGATCGAATCAGTATTGTTGAAGAAATTCGGAGAGACCTTGTCAAAGGGAGCTATGATATGGTATCATAATTTACCGCCTAATTCTATTGACTCGTTTGCTATGCTTGCAGACTCTTTTGTAAAGACATACGCCGGGGCCATGAAGGTCGCAACCAGGAAGTCGGGCCTTTTCAAGGTAAGACAAAAGGACTATGAGATGATCAGGGAATTCGTATCTCGGTTCCAAATGGAACAGATGGATTTTCCACCGGTCACCGACGATTGGGCTGTTCAAGCTTTTACTCAAGGTCTCAATGTTCGAAGCTTAGTGGTTTCACAGCAATTGAAGCAGAATTTGATCGAATACCCAGCTGTCACTTGGGCCGGCGTGCATAATCGGTACCAATCAAAGTTAGGGTCGAAGACGATCAGTTGGGGACTCCTTCCGAGTCCGTTCATTCTATCAGGCTTGTGATCTTGTAAAGAATTTTTTTCCAGTTTTGAAATCAATGTTACTTGTAAGTCATTTTCTGTTTCATTTTTATTTCTGCAATATGATGCCTCTTTTAGATTACCTTGGTAAATAACCTCTATTCATCCATTCTGGAGTAGTCTAATTGCTTTTCTGAAACTCTAATTTTTCTACAGAAGGTGTGGATTTCTATCATTTATTGACTCTGTACTGCTGTAAAATTGACTATGATCGAGACTCCGGATGGTTGTGCAGCTTTTTAGTTGCGGACTTATTTGAACCCGGTACTTTTCATGTGCAGTATAAATTTATGTGCAAAAGTTCATCAAAATTGCAAAAATAGTAGTTATGAACCCATAACATTTAAAATATAACTAGCGCAATGCTAAATACCTTAAATATTGAACCCATAGAACTAAAATCCTACATCCGTGAGAGCAGGTCACACAACATATGATATTATACAGAAATAGGGGAAATATGGATTAAATGGGGTAAGAAATGGATGAAATGTGTATACGGTCAAAATCGGGAGTGTCCTGGAACGAGGTAGGCCAAGGTTCGACCCTATGTTATATCGGACCACGGTGTAAAGTTAGATTGCCGAGCTCGAGACCCAGAGGCCGATCGAGATTGAGGTCGGCCAAGATTGGAGCCAGGTAGGATAGAGATCGAGCAAGATCGAGGGAAGCTTACCGAGCCAAATAACGGAAAACCAAAATATCCGCAATCAGGCGAGGATCACGGCGAAAATCTCGGCACATATCAAGAAGAGGCCGATTAATTAGCTAATCATGGGATCTCTTACTGTATTTAGAATTGTATCAAAGGTAGGATTCCCCTATTATATAAAGGGGGTCTGATCATTTGTATAGCACATCATATTCACGTTACATAAAGCAATATACCATCTTCTTAAGCTCTCAATATTCTGCTATTATGTTCAAACTTTCCAGTGGAATATTCGCTAGAGGGCGATCTAAGCTCGAGGGACAGAGCTATACATTTCTTTGTGTTTGCTTTAATTCCTATTTTCAATTAATTTCAATATCAATTTACGTATCTTGTTATTTTGTGCCAAGTTATATCACGTGTCCTTAAAACCACGGTATTTATTCTATTGTTATCCGTTTCTAGGGTAAACAGTTTGGCGCCCACTGTGGGGCTAAGGATAATAGTGATGCCTGGTACTAACTTTCATAATGCACACTATTTTATACTTGTTCTTGTGGGTATCTTTGATTCCTGGATCAGCATGTCAAACTCTCAAGCAGTACCCACGCACACAGACAATGGCCTTGGTCTCCATGGCGAGAATGACAACATAAAGCCGCCCCAGGAAATGGAGTACCTCCAGTTGATCTCGATGGAGCCCCGACCGTAGAACCAATCGACGTCAGTTTCTATGTTGCCATTAATGGGAATTTGGTCGTCGACCCTGAAAGTAGCGTCCATAGAGACGTTCGACCAGCCGTTCAAAACGCACAGCGCGGTGAAGAAGGCGGGATCAGCCTTCGAGTGATATTCGAAATGTTGCAGACTCAACAAGCTGCAATAGCACAACTCCAAAACCACAACCATGCACCAAGCAAGATCGAGCCTGAGCCATCACAGGAGGTTGTTCGTAGGGCCGAATCGGTACCAAAGAGATCGAATGGAGGTGAATCGGGGGCCGATCCGCAATCATGAATATGATCGAGGAAGTAACAAAGCGAGTTGAATCGGGGGAGAAGTAAATTGAAGCAAATGACAAAAACGTGGAAACCTATAATTCCAGGGTTGATCAAATTCTGGGGGCACCACCGATTTTGAAGGGTTTGGATTCGAAGAAGTTCGTGAAAAAACTTTCCCCTGAGCGCGGCTCCTAAACCGATTCCCAAGAAGTTCCGCATGCCATAAATTCCCAAGTATAATGGAATGACCGATCCCAACGATCATGTCACTTCTTAGACATGTGCAATTAAAGGGAACGATCTGGAGGACGATGAGATCGAATCAGTATTGTTGAAGAAATTCGGAGAGACCTTGTCAAAGGGAGCTATGATATGGTATCATAATTTACCGCCTAATTCTATTGACTCGTTTGCTATGCTTGCAGACTCTTTTGTAAAGACATACGCCGGGGCCATGAAGGTCGCAACCAGGAAGTCGGGCCTTTTCAAGGTAAGACAAAAGGACTATGAGATGATCAGGGAATTCGTATCTCGGTTCCAAATGGAACAGATGGATTTTCCACCGGTCACCGACGATTGGGCTGTTCAAGCTTTTACTCAAGGTCTCAATGTTCGAAGCTTAGTGGTTTCACAGCAATTGAAGTAGAATTTGATCGAATACCCAGCTGTCACTTGGGCCGGCGTGCATAATCGGTACCAATCAAAGTTAGGGTCGAAGACGATCAGTTGGGGACTCCTTCCGAGTCCGTTCATTCTATCAGGCTTGTGGACAGAGTCAAAAGGGACATCGACCGAGAACCACGCTCGGTTAGGGATCGCTACCAGCCATATAATGGAGATCGGAGAAGCAACGGGCCTGGGCGCAACCCTATTCGAGATGAAAGAAGAAATGATCGAGGTCAGAGCTCTCGGGGGCTTATGAGCAAGAATGGTTTCGACAGGGACGCCGGGCCCAATGAAGCACCGCGACTATCGGAATATAACTTCAACATTGATGCATCCGCCATGGTATTGGCCATCAGGCGTATCAAAGATACTAGATGGCCTCGACCTCTGTAGACCGATCCAGCCCAGAGAAATCCCAATCAGATGTGCAAGTATCATGGCACCCATGGCCATAGAACAGAAGATTGCAGGCAGCTAAGGGAGGAAGTAGCCCGGTTGTTCAACAAGGGACACCTTTGGGAGTTCTTAAGCGATCGAGCCAAGAATCACTTCAAAAACAGGGATTCAAATAGATAGAACGAGCAAGAAGAACCACTACACACGATTCACGTGATTGTGTGAGGGGTCGATATTCCACAAGGACCAATATTAAAGCGCACCAAGGTGTCGATCACTAGGGAGAAGCGAACTCAGAATTACGAACCGGAAGGAACCTTGTCTTTCAATGACGAGGATGCATAAGGGATCGTGCAACCCCATAATGACGCACTGGTAATATCTGTACTTATGAATAAGACTCAAGTTAAACGTGTTTTAATTGATCCAGGTAGCTCGGCCAACATTATTCGATCAAAGGTCGTAGAACAGCTCAGCCTACAGGATCGGGTTGTGCCCGCAACCTGAGTGCTGAACGGATTCAACATGGCGTGTGAAACCACCAAAGGCGAAATAAGTTTGCTAGTGAATGTGGCTGGGACCATCCAAGAGACAAAGTTCCATGCGTCGAGGGCTATATGAGGCACAATGCCCTATTAGAGAGGCCATGGATCCACAACAAGAGAGCGGTGCCCTCGACCCTTCACCAGGTTCTAAAATGACCGACGACAGAAGGAGTCAAAACAGTCTACGGAGAGCAACCCTGCCGCCAAGGAAATGTTTTCCGCCGACGAAGTAATACCTATATCGGCACTCTCATCGACGAAAGGGTAGAATTTGAAGGGAAAACAGTAAGTCAAATAGCAACCACAGACACCAGCCTCGACCCAATTAGAGATGCAGGGGACTGACAAGGATGATGACTACGGGGTTCCTCGATCTTTCATAGTCCCCGATGATTCCAACGCCACCAATTCAACGGTCGAAGAGATAGAGCAAATCACACAACTCGAACACCAGCCCGAACGAAAGGTAAGCCTCGGGGGAAAGCTTATCCAATTCCTTAAAACTAACATGAATTGCTTTGCTTGGTCCTATCTCGATATGACAGTATTCCACCGGATATCACCACCCAAAAGCTAAGCCTGGACCTGAAGTTCCATCCGGTGAAGCAAAAGAGAAGACCCCAATCCGAGGTCAAACACGCTTTCATCAAAGACGAGGTAACCAAGCTTCTCAAAATAGGGTCCATCCGGGAAGTAAAATATCCCGAATGGTTAGCAAACG